GAAAGAGCAATCTGTCCTGCCACAGAACCACACCTGACACAGGCTACAGTAGCAACAGAATAGGCGGCTTTTTTCACCAAGTCAAGCCACAGACTTTTTTTCCACAGAACATACAATCTAGGATATTTGTATAGCAAAGAGAAAATTAGCAAAAAGTTATTACTACCCAGAAGGCTATATCAATTGCTTGATGCTGATGATAAATGAAGTTGAGAGGTGGCATAGCCCATCACTTTTGTTTAAATCCCACTTCAAACAGTTAAGATCACTACAGACAGTAAAGTTACAATATGTGTGGATTTCATGGAGAGAAATGATTTTTTAGTAACTTGATACTCAGTTTAAATCATTGGTTGAAATACCTATCAGATCTTTTCTCTGACCTTGAAGTGATCAATGAGACTTGCATGCAGTGAATATGACCCTGAGGTGAAATTTTCTTTAAACTAAATTGTTCATCTGGCACACTAAAGAAAGATAAAGCATTTCATCTTGTACTGAACCTAATAAAACAACTAGCTAACTTTGGAGAGCGATATACTTTTCTTAAATGACAACTTTATCTTTGGACATAAGATACTGATGTTGGTCCGTGTCGCACCTGCTTTTGCTGGATTTTATCTTTACAGGCAGTGGAGTTACTAGATCATTTCACAGTATTAAAAAAGGTTGAGAATAAAGATGAGTTAGTCTGCCTGTTTTACACAAGAATAATATTCAATTTAAATTAGATTTGGATTTTAGCAGAATAATAATGAAAGTTTAAAAAATTATGCATGCATGGTGAAATATCTATTAAGAACGTATGCTTACTAATCTTATTTGAATAAGGCAATTCATTCAGAAGACACTGTATAAAATCAGTGCTGCCAATTTTAAAGTAGAGGTTTTAAAAAAAGTTTCTTTAAAAATACACAGCAAAAAAGTCACCAATTCTTTCAACATTAGCACAGAAAAATATATATTCAGGTACCAAAATACTGGTTAAAACCATATGTCTAACAAGAAACACCACAATTAGAGATTCATATGGTGATGACATTTAAGAGCTGTAAGTGTATGCAGCCTATATGCGAAATAGTGTAAATGTTGTATAAGTACATAGCAGAGAACAAAGCTTGTTCCAAAGGGTTTACACTTTAATGGAACTTCCTCCTGTTGAATAGCTGCAACATGAATGCAAAACTGCTTGCAATGATATTCCTTAAATATACTTTAGCAATGACAAGGTAACAATTAGAACAATAGGAAGGAGCATGTGAAAGTTGACAAAGGTAAACATCATCAATTCAAACTTTTTCAGTGGCAAATATAAAATCGATAGTTAACAAAACTTAATAAAGTCAGAGAGCCACTTTAACATCCTTTTTATTCTCTTCTGTATGTTGTTATAAGTATGGGATGGCTGTAGAGAAAGTTTGAGATGGAGAAGGTTGAATGCTCTTCCCTATGGCCTTTGTAGTGCTTTACCTAGAACATAATTAATTGACAGAATGCAATAAATAACTAGACAAATATACACATTATGCTCTGGAGATAGTTGATGGCATTTATGCTATGTGAAAATTTGTCGCAATTTGTATGGATACTGTTGCTCCTCTCTGTAGGCCAAATCTGCTTGGTGTACGGACATGCCCAGCAGCAAAGCAGAAGCAGAGCTCTCAAACTGGAACGAGCAAAGGGGCCACAAAGCCAGTCATGTTGGAAGTCACGCTGTTAACTAAGTGCTTGAGGGAAAAAGTCTTGAGCTTTGGGGTTGACTGTTGCACTGATTTCCAAATTGATTTGAGAGTATGTGCAGTCTTTCTGACCTTTTGTTTCCTTGGATGAAAAATGACACTGGTGTTAGGTGTAATGGTTATATCTACAAATGATTGTTCTAAGGATTAAGTTAGTTTTAAATGGGAGATGAATTACATAAATCACAACTGTTGTTGGAATGATAAATCTCTATGACTTGGAGCAGGAGAGAAAGGTGATCCTACAAGCCACGTCTCTGTAGTTTAACGCAGCATGATGCAAAAGCCTAGCACTAACAAACCTGTGCTAGAGCCACAAGCAGCATGGCTGTGTGATTGCAGGGCTGTGCCAAATGTGGAAAGGCAGATCTTGGGAACTTGGAAACATCACTTAAATAACGTGACTCCACTGCTTTGAGGCTGCAAAGTTATAGATTCTGGTGTGTTCTGTGTACCGTATACTATGTACATATGTACTATATACATGCACTATGTTCTATGTTCTGTATAAAAAAGAAATTTCACTTGTATGAATATATTTTTATAGACCTACATCATACCATATTTTTTACTCAGTCTTCCCTACAAGTTTTGCCTTGGAAGCAAAAAAAACCCCAAACATACAACCTGGGATTTTCAATCTCTGAGTGCGAAGGAATAGATGACAGTGCATGCCTAAAGTGGAAATGCAATGCTTTGTCTTTCTTTTGCATAGTACAAAGCTGGACATAATGACACATCATTTGAAATCTTCGGGGTTTTTTAATTTTTCTGTTGTTTGCTTCTGTTTTTTTTAAAGTAAAAGGAGAATAGAAAACTAAAGACCCATGAATAGACCTTTTCCTAGATATAATGACAGGAAAATGCTGAAGACTTGGAATAAAGACCTGCTTTCAAGAATTAAAAAGTGATACATTTTGAAAGAAAAATGACTGAAAGATCTGCAATAGTTACACATGGGTTTTTAACAACCAAAATTCTGCTTCAGGACAAAAATGAAACATGGGAGATAGATAGACAGCAGTATATCCTTAATATGCATAGAAATAATAATCCTTAAGTACAAATAGATGGCATGTGTAGTAAGAATAAGAATCACGTACTCAGTAAGAATCAAGTACTCAAGCATTACAAGACATGACATAGAAACATATGCTCCATTCCTAGAGACCAGTTATAAACAGAAAGCAAATGAAGACTGTCATTTTCAATTCACATAAATATTCTTCAAACTAGAGATTTCAACATGAAGCTACAATTCTCTTGTGCATACTCAGAGTCCTTTCCTCTTAGTTTTGTTCATTATTTTAATGCAAAAAAATCCACCATTTGATAATCTATTATTACCAATACCAGAGCTGAAATTAAATCCTACAGGATAAATCTGAGGCATTTATATTGTACTATGGAATAGTTACCTTTGAACAACATACAGAGCTATGGGGTTTACTAAATAAAAAAAGGAATTTTAGATGAGCTAGGAAGCTTAATTACTTGTCTTTGTTATGCCTGGTCCTGAATTCATAACATTAAATCTGATTTCTGATCTCCGTGTTCCAGGTGTGTAGTTCTCATTCTGTGTTATTGCAGCACCTTGCATAGAAAAGGATATCTTTTGAAATCAATGTAGCATGGTAAACACTGTCAAAAAGTTTCAAGGTATTTGATCACTGATTATTTTTTATTTCTATGTCTCTGTTCATTATTCGCAGACACAATCAATGCAGTGGACATACGAAATCAATGGACTGCCTCCACAGACCATACCACCTGCAAGGCCAGCAAAAGTTGTTTCTACTAGCAGTTACATGAGATCAGCCACAGTTCGACAGCGCAATTTTTTAAGTGAAAATCTGAAACTTACAACCACTGGAGTATCCTCACCAATCAAGGGGGCACCTTTGGTCCTGAGGACAAAATAGAGAAAGTTACGAGCAGTTATTTTTTTGGTGGGGGAGGATGTGAGGTAGACACGTTAGTCAAATAAATTCTGCAGATAAAAAGAGGATATGTTTTTTGATTTTTTTTTAAAGCAGATATGATATGCATTGATTGTATGCTTTATATGGAAGATTCAGAGTGCCTGAGCTCTAATAATACTCTTATTATGAGGGATTTTAGATGTTTACCTAACAGTTTATGTGTATCATACAGATGTCAGCAAGTTCTAACGAGGAAAAAGTTGGAGTTGAAAAAAGGTACTTGAAAACTGGGGAATTCAAACTAATGCTTTGCTTTCTAAGGGATATTAGTTTGGTAAGACTTTAATAGGAAGCCTTAATGAACATTCTGTGTGATGTTCAAAATACTACACCCATGCAAACCAAGCAAGCAAACCAATCCCTGTTCTCTTTCATGATAAAATGCTTTCCCAAAGTTTGCAGTATTTTGCTAAGGTGAAACACATTTAGATGTCATATGTCCAGACCTTGAATGCCTTTCAGATTCTCTTGCTTTGGAAAATTTCATTAATTACTACATCTTTGCTTTGTCCAAAATAAGAATTGTGATTTATTAATCCCATAAAACTTCAAAACCTTAGATAATTATACATAACATAGAATGAAAATAAAATGTCCTCCCTCCGTATTTTTGTGTTAAGTAAATTTTAGAGAGTGCTTTAGAGTATTGAAATATAGAAGGCTGTGAAAAGTCAGTGAGGAATGGAGCCAGATTTTACTTTTTTTTCTAAAATAAACAAACCAGAGGTGCCATTCATATTGTGGTTCCATTTCCATTCTTCCCATCTGCAGGTGACTTTAGACGGGTTGTCAGGCTTTCTTTGCTCTTGATGTAATGTGGAAAATCGAATCTATGCAGACATGCCTTGTAAGATCACTGGATGGGTACTCCTGCCTTCTTTCTTCATTGAGATTGTTTTTCCTGATTTTACTAATAGAATGTAAATTATATTTGTGCCTTTATTTTGATGGCGGAATGTACTTTAACAAAAAAAATTGCTTGGCACAGATTAAGTGCTTTCTTGGCACAAATACAGAATGAGCATCATTGCTCAGGAATGGGGAGCGTGAGAACAACCTATGTAGGTCAGCGTAAAAGAGCACCAATAAAACCATTTTACCGCAATGTGCTTGAGGATTTTGTTTATGCCACTCGTTTTAAAGAAGCTATTACAGAAAATGTTGGGAACACATAAAACAGCAATGGCACTGTTTAATATCTCCTTTTAAATGCAGTGTGCCCCATTTTGGTCAGAAACCAGGTAATCTGAAGCTAGAATAAAATCTGCCTTACAAATTCAGTACACAACACAGGAAAGATACTGTCAATAGTGATATCTGGTATGTATCTAAAAGATGTTAAGAAGCTATTGCAATATTTATCTTAAATGCTACTGGGACCACAAATACAGCTAAATTTCATAGGAAGGCTCTATCTGCATACATAAATGAGGCAAGTGTTTCTCTGACCGTAAGAAATCAGAATTTATGGATCAGAAATATGCAGTGGTTTCACAAATGATTATTGGTGTTCAGGAAACATTTCAGTGACAAAGTTTCTTTCTAAAAGCTTTGTTTTCCTTGTTTTGCTTTTTTTAAGTTTTGCTTTCCTGTTTAAAATTACATTCGTTGGCAAGTGTCGCAAATGAGTGGTTTAGAGGCCGCTTAAAGAATCACTGTTAAAGGTATTAGCAGAAAGTGATTTTAATAGAAATTTGTAAAAACACAACTTAACGAGTTCAATGGCAAGGTTCACTCTATCACTTACTACATGGATGAAACATAGAAATCGAGTTAGAATTGAGCTAAAATGATTTATACAGAGACCGAGGAAAAAAAGAGCAAGGGAGACCCTCCCGTTGAGTCACAAGATTCAGAGTAGACCCCCTTGCTTTCTAAACTCCTGATGGAGACTAAGTGCAGCTGGATCCACTCCTAGTCCCAGACTTGGTCAACGGTTTATGTCTAAGGGATTATATGTGTTTAGCGGCAGGCTAAGGGTCATTCACAGTTTTAAGATAGATCACAAGATTTTAGCAGTAATTAATCATCGACTAATTTAACATTTACAAAGTAAGTTACTAGAGTCTACTGCAATCACGACAGTGACTTAATTACAGATTATGCTTACTATCAGTTCACACAGACAAAAAGATAGATAAATATACAAAGGTATACCTTTTAAAAATTCCCCTCAAGTCAAGGGAAATATTCACATCAAATGTCTTGGCATTTCTCAATGGGTGAAGGGTTGACCCTCGTGGACTGTTTCAGCCCAGGTCCAGTTGTCTGTTGGCGATGGTCCTCTAAATATCACAAACGTGAGAGTTCACGAGCTCTGAGAGGCATCCCACTCAGAGGGAGATTCTGGGCGCAGCCCGCTGCGGTCCAGGAGAGCTCAAAGGGCCTCACTTAGGACCGCTGTTTATAGGGTCGCAAGACGATTGGCTTTAGTCATGAAAATTCTCAGGGTTTCAGTAGCAATGGTATCATTCCACTTGAGCTACGACTCAGATAAGGGTATCAGGGGATGGCGAATTATCCCCGCTCTCGTTCCCCACTTGGGCCAGGCAGGCAGGAGTTCCTGGTATGGTCAGTACGTTCCCCAACCGCAGCTGTGCAAGGGTTCCCGGCACGGTAAAGGGACGCTTCACCGCCTGACTCGTTACACCAAGGCCAAGGTTTAATGGGAGTTTCCGAGATCATGGAGCAGCCCAGTAGAGGGGGGCGGGGAATGCACCATCACAGCAAGATGCTCAAAATTTTGTAATCCTACCAGAGATGGATTAGCAGGTGGCATATAGGTGAATCACTTGACAATTAAATGATGTTCACTCCAGAAATTTTATTTCACAGTTTGCTTGCCTGCACTTGCTGCTACATGTAGTAGATTTTCAAATTCTGTCATACATTCAAACATTAAAACAATCCATAGGCAAATATTATGCAATAAGATAATATCAGAGGGGTGTTTTCAAAGGTGCAGTTTAATTATATTATCTATCTTAAAAGGGAAGCATAATCTGGACCAGATTACAGGGTTTTTTTTCAATGTGTACAAGGTCACTCATGCAAGATATGCTATCATCAGTTGAATTTGTACCTAATATTAAAAATGTATTGCATTTTTCTTATTTCTTACAGAGTTTAAACAGAACTAAAAATATTTCATCTGATATTAAGAATATACTTCCAAAGGTGATTTAAATAAAGACCATTTTATCTGTGTGGTTGTAACATCCCCAATGTTTTACATATTATCTGCATGTATTTATGAATTACACTGACTATATAAACTGTCTATTAAAAATAAATTCCTTTTTACTTCCTGGCTTGATGCTTTGCACTTCCATCAGTGATGTGACTGTATTCTTTATAACACAAGGGCTAATTTTAAGTATATCTCTTAAAAAACAGTTTCTAAGCAGCAGCACTGGAAGATTTCCAGAATGATCAGTTTTATTCATTACTTACTCCCTCCTTTTTGCTGGAATTACTGATCCATATTGAAAAACTTCGAGTTTCAGCTCATGGAAGGAAAGAACTGACATAAGAAAAGATTATAAAATGCTGCTTTTGTTATTTAAACTTGGAGAATTCACTCCAAAGATTTTGGACCCACCATTAAATCTGAGCTTCAGAACAGCTGGGCAAGCTGCTTGCCATCACCCCGCACCTTAAAAATGTAACCTGCAGAGGAGTTTAACTATTGGAGATACGTCAAAACACAATTGTTGCAGTTAGGGCTCAGGTCTAAAAAAACGAGTCCAAATGATTTAGCTTAGAATTCATTCTAAATTACTATTTATTAGCATAATCTTCTTACAAGGAAATGGGACAGAATGAACACAGCCTTGAAGTTATGGCTTTTGAAGAAGCTCTCGTAATGTTTTCTATGCCCTCATGCCACACCAGACCAGCCAGTAGCAGAAGCTGGAAGACAAAAAAATTAACTTTGTTTCTCCACATTACAGCACCCTTCAGGATCCTTTTCTTCTGAAAAGGATGAAAAAAGGAGTATCTTCCTTCACATCAATTTGCGCAGGTACAGTAGAATCTAAGGGAAATGGGGGGGATATTAGTTATTACTGTAATTAATAGCTCTTAATTTTTAATTGCTAATTTTGATTAGAGATCTAAAATTACTTGTGCTGACCCCACTTATATATTTTGATATATATAAATATCAAAATCATAAAATAAAATAAGTTTTTCAAAGTCAATATGACACAAGGTCAGTGCCTTAATCATAGTCTTAAGTGACACACGTGTCAGCTGTACATTTGCTTGTTACTGGCTTACAAGAAATACTAGTTGGCTAACCAGTGTAGTCACCACCTGTTTATTTATATTTCTTCCTCACTTGTCTCTTTATGACCCTCTATAATGATTCATCTTTCAGAATAATTAAAAAAAGGATTAAAAACTTATGAAGCAACATTATTTTGTAGTATAGAACTGGTTACTTTGGGAATGGGGTCTACATTTAAATTTATTACTAAAATACCGTGCAGCTTTTAGAATCATAGAATCATAGAATCACTAAGGTTGGAAAAGACCTCTAAGATCATCGAGTCCAACTGTCAACCCAACACCACCATGCCCACTAAACCATGTCCCTAAGCGCCTCATCTACACGTCTTTTAAATACTTTCAGGGACGAAAGTATCAACCACTTCCCTGGGCAGCCTGTTCCAATGTTTTGCAACTATTGAGCTCCTGTTTTTTTGTGACATGTCCAGTAGTGGGGACAATCTGCCCTAGGAGTTTACAGTCAGAACACTAGCTTCAAAACAATACAAAAGCAATCAAACTTCTAATTGTCTGATGTTTGGCTGGGCTTTATTTGGCACAATACCACATAGGAGAATGACACAAGGGTAATGTGGAAATGTTTTTTTTAGGATGCCTGCCATTAGCAGCTCAGCTTGGAGTGGCTTTTGCTGCCGTACAACTCAGAA